TGAAGAAAGCAGTCTTCTGGGATTTGGCACCGTGTATATGTGGTGTTAACCGACGTTTCGGAGGAACGTATAGCCTCCATCTTCAGGGTAGAAGAAAAAATAAGAATTCTGCAAGCGGAGTCTGCTTTTACCGGTTCTCACGGTCTCTTCGCTTGCAGATTTCTTATTTTTTCTTCTACCCTGAAGATGGAGGTGATACGTTCCTCCGAAACGTCGGTTAACACCATATATACACGGTGCCAAATCCCAGAAGACTGCTTTCTTCAAAGTGCCCATTATTTGAGCACTGGAATATGCAGACAATTTTTTAATAATAAAAACATGGAGTTTTGCGAAATCATTTCATCGGCTATCAAGTTGTTGTATGTGGACGTATGGATGAACACTCGTAGCCGCTAGGTGCATTTCTGCACCTTTTCCTTGCGAATGAGTAACACACTCATCAGTTAACTCTTTCGAAATTGGGGTGCGTATTAAAAGTTCAGAGAAATACTGCACGTGGAATGCTTCAGAAATGTTAGTATCTAAAAGTAATATGGCATTAAAAGCAATACACTTACCCCACTGAGACCGCCGATAAGAGGGCCCAAATTGCCCAGAAGAGCTCCTATGTCAGAACCACCCCCTTCTCCGTCTTCGTCTCCCTACATGCATACGGGGTTAGTTGCCAAAGAAATGTTAGCGTGACATTCTTATCATGGTAAAGATTGCTGTCTTTTTGCATGTGATGTCGTGTAGTCTGGTAGATATTTACCTTCGATTTATAGGAACCTATACCGACCGAGCGACCGCCGCTTGTCGGCGAAGTTTAGTGCCAACTTTTGCGGATAGAGGGTGTCACGTGGTCAGCGCAACGAATCCCCATGGCCGTTAATTTCGGTTTTCTAGACCGGAACCGCTATTTCCTTGAAATAGCTCCTCAATTATCATCACGAGGCTGAGTGGACCCCGTTCAAAACCTACTACTTCTCATAAAAAATCTGGTAGCGCCGGGAATCGAACCCGGACCTCTGGATCTGTAACCAGGAACGCTAGCCACTAAACCGTAGAGGCGGTCGGAATAGTTCGTTTGCGGACTAAAATCACGGAGTTTCTAGGAACCTATTCCATGTTCAGGGTTCGCTCGCAATGTTCATATACAGGATGTTCTAAGAGGAAATGTCAATTTTCTGGGAGGTCACCGTATCGGCCATTCTAAGCAACAAAGTGTATATGTACATGTGTACAATTCCGAGCGGTTTCCTAGATAGAATTATTTCACGGTACAGTTCCAAAACTGTCTGATAAAAAGATATATTAAGTACTGTTTCTAATACCGGTATTTATTGTTCAAGTGACAAAGTTGGTAGTGTTTAGTGTTATACATTTTCGAAAATTCCACCGTCAACATCAATGCACTTTGCAACTCGTGTGAGGTCATGACGTGTTGCTCGTCTGTGAAATGTACAGTGAAACATCTGCATCTCGGAAACCGTTCGGAATAGGACACATGTACATATACACTTTTTGCTTAGAATGACCGATACCATGACCGCCTAGAATATTGACCTTTCCTCCTGGGTAATTCCGTATATCTATCAAACTATACGGAGTTATCAAGAATTTTCCTATGTACACCCAGGCTACTATTAAAATTTAAGTTAGGCCACGACTGTTTCATTCTGAATCGTTTTCAATTGATTGTTCACCATTATCCCTATATTCGACATTATGTCCGGCTTTACTGACAGCGCGAGTCGTTAAATAAAGCAGAAATAAATTAAATACACTCCCTCACATCCCGTAAGACTGCAATCTTCAGTTGTGTTACTGTAGCACTTCATGTTTATCGTAAAAATAATTTTCATGCATAAACACTTACCCCGCTCAGACCGCCAATGAGAGGACCCAGGTTGCCCAAGAGGGCCCCTATGTCTGATCCACCACCCTCACCGTCTTCATCATCACCACCCTGTGTTACCATAAGGGTTAGTAGAAACAGAAGCCGTTAGTTTATGCATGAACATGTGTAATTCTAGCATCTTACCACATTGACATCGATAGTGCTGTAATTTAATGTAGTCTCTTCCGAAGGTAATAATTGAAGACACTTACCCCGCTGAGACCGCCAATTAGGGGACCGAGATTTCCCAAAAGTGCCCCAATGTCCGATCCACCACCCTCACCGTCTTCATCATCACCACCCTGTAGTACCACAGTATTAGTGTAACATGGGCACAGGAGGTAATGACTATGTTCAGTGATGTTTTCTTGTGACTCAATTCGTACTGCTCATGGCGACGAAAGAAAATATTGACAATTCAGAATTAAATGCTGACTTAAAACCAATTGCATTTCCACTCAGAATTACTCTGCTTTTTAACTTAGTCCATCGTCCCCTATTCTATAATTACTGTATAATTTTCTGTATTTTTCTTGTGGGGTATTTAAAATTTCAAGTAAAGTCCTTATATATTATATTACACGCAAATTCAGTGCCTACGGGAAGCACATAGTTAACTTAAAAATTACCCTCAAATATATTGCTAAAATGTGGTAGATAATATTTGATCGTTTCTGTGTTATAATAAAGTGTTCATACTCCATCTATTATGGGGGGAGAATGTTGTGTCTTCCTTAATTAATGACGCAACATATTGCGTCATTATTAGACACTTTGTTTTTCCTTGGCACTACAGCCCCAGTGTGCCTAGGCCTACCTCCATGAACTTCTCCGTTCACTTCGGTTTTTCTAGGTCTTAAAAATTCAGTAGGACTCCTGGGGCGGGTGATCAGCTCGTCGCAAGGCCTCTACCTGTACACAAACACAGAAAAACGCACACAAACATCCATGCCCTGAGTGGGATTCGAACCCACGATCCCGGTTTCCAAGCGAGCGAAGGCAGTACATGCCTTAGACCGCTCGGCTACCCTGACCGGCATACTTATATATACTTTCAGTATTAATAAGACGATGAGAAATACAGATACTTTACACAAGCATTTTCTTTCGTAAGCTTACCTACACAAAGTACAACGTTCCTTGGTTCGCCTAGTTGAAGGACTGTACACATTTTATTGTCAGGCTTCATAACGTTTTCCAATGACATATTTAGAAACTTCTGAACGAATCCTATGTCACAGGCAGCGGCAATAATTTCTAGACAGGGCCGGCAGAACTAGGCCTTTTGGTAACATGCCAATGACAAAAAGCGAATTGTAATTTACACTAAGTCGTGAAGCCCCGCTTCTTGTCTGATGTTCCAAAATACTTACCCCACTCAGCCCGCCAAGAAGAGGGCCCAGATTTCCCAAAAGTGCCCCTATGTCGGATCCTCCACCCTCACCGTCTTCATCATCACCACCCTGTGTTACCATGAGGGTTAGTAGAAACAGAAGCCGTTAGTTTATGCATGAACGTGTGTAATTCTAGCATCTTACCACATTGACATCGATAGTGCTGTAATTTAATGTAGTCTCTTCCGAAGGTAATAATTGAAGACACTTACCCCGCTGAGACCGCCAATTAGGGGACCGAGATTTCCCAAAAGTGCCCCTATGTCGGATCCACCACCCTCACCGTCTTCATCATCACCACCCTGTGTTACCATAAGGGTTAGTAACAGGAAAATGTAATTCACGAAGCTTAGGCTGTTAGTGCATATAATGCATACAGTTATATTATACAGTATTTACACACAAGGAACACTCATTCTGTGTTCATGCAACCCCAAGGGCATACGTGGAAATGTGACATTTGAAGATTACTGACTCCTGAGGTGTTACGCTCTGTAATTTTGTACGTTTCAATTTCACCTTCCCACTTGTCTTCACCTTCAAAATATTTTACCACTTCTTTCCCTTGAAATGTCTGTTCTCACCCTTCTTAGAGGCCACCCTTATCCATGACACGTTTCCCCTTCTTCCAACATACTTAAAGTTGAAGTTATCTCTGTGACAGGCCACAGAGGCCCATAAGGTTGTGAGACATCGAGGTTCCTACATTATCTAGATAATCGGCTCACAGATGGCTGTAAGGTTGTCAGCCTTAAAAGCTGGCAACCTTTTACCCCTGGGAAGATTCCTGGTACTCATTTCTGTTATAGGCTGAGTCGACCCCAGGGCCATAGTGCGGCTGGAAGGATTAGGTCATGTTATATTTTAGCGTCCTGTTGCACTGATTTATGTCCATGATTTATTCTGACCGTCTTACAGTGCATACATTTATTCACCTTACTCTTTTCTCTTGCACTACATGTTTCAGCACAAAAGTGCCATCTTCAGGTGCTTTTC